AGGAGGACATCTCGGAGTTAAGAAGACATTGAGTCACCTACTACAGATATTTTCTACGGGAAATTAACAAACAAGCAGATACGTAACAATATTTCCTGAGATAAGGAGACCAAAATGCACAAATGAAACCTTGGCCTCTTTAGATATGTTTTATATAACATTCCTTTAAAGACAAACCAAATTCTCGTAGTTTTTACAACTTAGTAGCATCAGTTTTGATCAAAATCCATTTTAAGAGTAATACAATTGCTAGAAGTAAAGATAATATAGTTTAAGATACATTTATAGACATATTGGTTACAGGATTTTTGAGATGTGAGTCCGTAAACTTATTGCTGTTCCAGCGGGGAATCTTTTGAGAGGAGAATGATAAACTGTGATCTTATCGAAGTTGACAAGGTTATTCGGGTAATAGATAAGATAAATTCATCCGATTTTTTTGTATCTTATTCTGAAGACAATATAATAAGAGTACAGAAATTCAAGATTCGAAAAAGATATGCTTCGCCCCAGATCTTAAGACAGTTTTTCTTGTTAACTACTGGGGCTCTTGGCTTACGGAAGTAGCTGGTGTTAGCAGTAATGGGGGCTGATACGTTATAAGGATTTAAGAGTGGGATCGATGATTTCCTAGAAAATAAAGGGTGGATTTATATTTTTTACTCTCTTTTTCTGTGATGGATGTGTGTAAGATCGCTTTGAAGGACAAATGGTCCTCTGTTGTTTGTATTTTAAAATGTATGGAGATATCAGAAATCTTTTGTTCTAGTTTTTTTTTTATGTCCGATAAATTTCGCAGACAAATGATTATAAGTTAAAAGTATAGTAAAATAAATTACTAAATTTGTATAAAGTTATAAACTTATGTCAATAGCCCCCCTTTTTTTCATAAACAAGTACTATGAGTATGAGTGTCATTTAACGAATATGTATATAGCCAGGAAAAAATATGCAGATCGATTAGATTATTAAATCACAACAGCTGTAATTTATTTTGTTTATCTTTGCTCAAAGAAGAAAAAATAGTGAGTAGATATTATCATATAACGTACAAGAACATTGTAACTATTTGGTGAGTAATACAAATACATTAGAATGTTTAACTTTTAAGTCTGATTGCGTAATGTGTGTCACTTTCAGTATTATTAGTGTAAAATTCAAGCGTTTACTAATTTAAGATTTCTTAAATTCTACTTTCTAGTGGTACTTACTTTAGGCCTAATTTTAAGTTCACGTAAAAGGGGGAATTGCGCATCCTAGCAACTACAAAGTACAAATCAACGCAATAGTTGTTGAAACAGAATGTGCCTAACTAAGGGATTGATTCAATAATTGTTATTCTTATACGATAGCCACAGGTTAAACTTAAAAGTTAAAGTGCAGGGAATATTTTGTGGTATTGTTCAGATTTAAACCCGGTTCATCAATTCTGACAAAAACTATAGATATACATTTCTGAGGTTATGCAATATGCAAACTGTATGATGGACAAAAAAATTTTAACCTTCATGTGAACATCACCTTGCATTCCAACTTGTCAAAGCCCAAATCAGATTGGTGTCATCGATTCACACACACACACATCTTGAGTACAAATACTTTTGTAACACACCTGTTTTTTCTTTGTGCACAACAGACTTGTACATTTTACTCAAAGCTTGCCATATTCTGTGAAGATACACATAGTAAACTTGGAATTATAGTCAAAAAATTTTCTACAGTACGGGGTCAGTCCAATGGATCAAGCCTGTGCACATTTGGTTAATGATTATCGTTAATATAGTCCAACATACAAAATCACATTAAATGTTACAAATTTATAAACCTTTGTATTTCATGAATAGCATTGTGAAACAAATTTTGTTTTTTCACTACCAGAGGCTTCCAAAAAGTTACTCAGGCTATTAAAAACAAACTGGTACAAATCACCACTGTGGTAACATTAAGTAAAGAATAGTGTGTATAAAGTAAACAAATGAAGTACTTGTCAAACAATATGCAAATAATTACTACTGTCTAACAATGCAAAAACAAATTCTAAAACATAAAGTAGAAACTAACCCAGCATAGAGGTGGCTAAATGAATAATAAATAATGGGACATTTACTGTACAGTCTTTTTCAACATTAAGGATGTTCCAACTCACATCCTGCCTCAATAAACAGAAAATTAATTGCTAAATCTATCCATGGTTTCTCAAGTATTTATAAACTCATTTCATAAATTCCTTCAAAGTTGCAGTCTCTATCATTCTAGATTACATTTTGTTCCACAGATTTATCACTGTTGATGATTTGTCTGACCTTTCAAAATCTTGAAATTTATGATTTCTTATTTCAAGTTCTTAATCAACTTTGAAAATAAATAAATAAAATGGTTTAGGGGTGGATAGATAGATATTATCCTAGAAGGAGATTAACAGGATAGGTTTCATGCTAACTGAAATTGTGTTAAAAATGTGTCTGTTTAGTTACCACCCTAAAAATGGATTAGATTATGCTTTAAAAGTGGTAGAAATAAACATAAATTAATTTCACTGGTGAGAGCAGCTACCTTGTTTGTTTGACTTAATGCATTTAGGTGTCTGTAGATATTTTATTGTAGCAATCTTTAACCGAGTTGTGTCATCAGCCAAAGACGTTTAACAGGTGATGGTGGTGCTAATGGTGAGGAGTTGACTATATCACTTCCACTGTATCATCAGCCACATTTGTTTGTGAAATGAAAAATAGTACTTTAAAGTGAGGATCTAACAAAGCGGCTAAGGTGAAAGGAGAACTGTTAAGGTCGCTGACAAAAAGTCAGTATCAGAAGGCTTTCATATAGAATGTCATAGAAATACAAAGAAAAAGTGGAATTTTTTCACACCAGTTTTTGTTAAATGGGATTAACAAAAGCAGAAGGCAGACATTTACATTTTGTACAGCGATGTAAAGCTTTATTGTTTACAAAACAGATGTTTTCATATGCAAGTAAGATTATTATAAAAAAGTCATTTTAGAATGTTTACCCAATCTAACTGTTAAGATAATGTAATGTGCATTATGGTTCTACTTGAATACTTGACTTTTTTACATATTCTTACTAAAAAAAAAGGAATCTATTGCTGAAAAAAGTATTTAATAAATGTTAACACAAATGCTATAATTTTCTTATTGTTTACCGCAATGCCAAATCCATAGTTCTGCATGTTCAAATTAGTTTTACCAGGGAAAGATCATATGATACGTTATGGCATATTAAAATATCTAATCAATACAAGATGAGGATATGAAATACAGGGATGAAAGGTCAAGGAACCTTTGTGAACATAATAAGGGAAAAGGATATAGTACTGTGAATTTGGACTCTATAAGAAGTGTCATCTACATGGCTTTCATTTTTGTTACATATTCTGTAATGCATGAAATTAATTTCATTTCAACCGGATATATTTTTGAATTAATTGACAGTGCCCAGGTGGTAGAAGATTTGTTGTTACCTGTGTACATGTTATAGGTGTGCTTTATTTCCATGGATCTGCTTCATCATTAAATCAAATGCTAGACCAAACTTCATTTTGGCTCAAAAATACATATCAGCAGTGCAGTTAAAATGCTTGGAGAGAAAGGTGAATAAAAACAAAAAAAAGAATTATTACTGTAAAAGAAGACCAAGATAGGTAACATGATGTAGTGGTTATTCAGAATTACCTTTGTGATCTGAGATGTATCTTTAGATGAAGCTTGTTTGAAAAATATGTTATCAATAACATGGAGGCATAATGTCCTTTCTTTTGTGCTTATACCTTTCAAGGAGGTACTATGTTAAATTTCTCATGTTTGTACTTCATGTACAAGTTTCTTTTGAGGCATTTAAATTATTTTGTTTAGCTAATAATATTTGAAAATTATCATCATTAACTTCTGATCAAAGCAATTTACTTACATAGAGCAGAACTAAGAATTAACCAAGTAATGAATATAGTTAATTTAATATACCAGTTTTAACTAGAAGTAAGCAATGTTATTAAAATAGTTTATGATTAGAATTCATTGATTTATCAGTTGGTTATCTTTGCCATTTATGATATTCTTGGCCATGATCTCTGTCATATGTTCCGAGGTTTAACCAGCTTAGGAGATTTATGTTTTTCCTCAATCTGTATATTAAGCCAACAATGGTAAAAGTGGGTGATTAATGTGTGTCAAAGTCTTGGTATTGACTGTTATGCGATCAGTTGCAGCTCACTGGGATTCCATTGTGTTTGTGAACAGTAGGTGTAATGTGTGGAGGAAACATGATTCACTTTACAATCCAGCATTATTAGCACCTTTCACAATATTTATTCTGTCAAGTCTTATTAGGAGATGAATATTTTGTTCTCAGTTTCACATATATTTATTTTCTCTGTCTCATCACCTGTATGACATCTGGGAAAATGAGTAACATTAATTAACAGCAGCATGATGTAAATTTTTATGTTCTGTGATTCAGTGTCCTGTGAAACTATTAAAACCGTTTGTTGTTGAACATGATGAGATATCTGGTATTAGAAAATAGGTGTAGACATTCAGTAACTGACCAGCTATTGCTGTTTTGCATCTTGCATACATATTTGGAAACCTTTTCAAGAAAAGTAAGATTTAGCAGTTTTGCATCTTTCATACATATTTGGAAACCTTTTCAAGAAAAGTAAGATTTGCTTTGTAACATTGTGGTTGAGCTTTCTCCATCAACCAAACAATCCATCATCAGTAAAAATCTAAAATGTTTGGTTATTCAGTGCAGTCATTTCATTGATTGGCAGGATAGGTCATCTTTAATTAAGACAGTTTTATTTTTCTAACAGGATGGTTGGCTTTTGGAATTTGTTTCTTCAGATGTGTTGGATGCAGTATGTTTATGGGGTGTAAGGGAAAGCTTGATAAATATTTAGTTAATAAGGCCTGTCTCAGGTTTTTTTCAGTGGATGAGATTAATTCAATGGATCAACAGATTCCTTATTGTCCTTAAATGTTATAATTTAGTGTAACTCTGCCATATTGATTATTAACATTATTTTCTTTTTTTTAATTACACTTTTTTAGTGTTTTTTTTGTTGTTGTTTGGTAAACTCTCAGTAGCTTAAGGCCACATTTTTAACTTCAGTATTAGAACTTGTAGACTTAAGTTTGTTGCAGAATTTTGTAATCTTGACTTTCGTATTTTTAGGTTATAGTGCAACAGAGTAGTAAAAGCTGCTTTCACTTTGTCATAATGGTGTTGAATTTGTTTAACTCCTCTCCTGCCTCCCCTAAAATTTTCACTAAAAATATAGTAAAAACTACATCTATCAGAATATACTGTATTCAGTAATAGGCAGTCCTACACATGGAAAAACAACCCAACAAAACATTAAACGTTATCACATTTTCAGTTAGCCCTGTTGTATTTGTCGTCAATCATAGTAAGAATTGAGAAAAATTTGAAGCTGCTCAGTCAGGCAGAAGTGTGAGCACTTGAGTCCAGTGAGAAAATTAAATTTCAACCTTGGGCTATGATAACTCCAAGTAAAGTGCCTGTAATAGCAAATGAAACTGTTTTATGTCTTATTGATGTATTTCTTTCTTTTATAATCTGTGTTGTATAAGCTATTCCATGGAATTATATTTAAGTTTTGGGTAATTAATTTGCAGAATCAATGTGATACTTTAATGAAAAGATGTGCTGAACCAATATAAAACCTTTTACAACAGATAGCATGTTTGTAATATCAATGAAAACATTCCAGAACAAAAATGATCATTCTTTTTTAAAGCTTCATAATTTATCTTCCATAGGTTTCCTTCCACTTATCCTTAAAAAAAAAAGCCTTTACTCTCCAACTCTATCTGTCTTCCACCTCTTAATTTCCCCACTTTCAGAATCGTAGAGTTGGCACTACTTTGTACAGTGTGAATTTAATATGCAACACAATTTGCACTTAACTTTACTTTACCAATTACTTGAAAGTAATCCCATGCAGGATTCATTTTAAATTACTTAAGAAGAATGATTCACTGATAACCTCTTTTACTGGATTTTGTTTCAAGTTCCTGCTCCCGACCTATA